AGTATGCGTAAATCTATACATTAAAAAGAAAAAAAAAATGTTGGGTAAACGTCCGTGTTCGTAATAACACGTTTAAGGTGGACGTTTAAGAGCTATCAAAGTAAAGTTTCCAGCGAAGTTCAAGACATTGTAAATTGGAGTTCACGAAAATTTGTTCAAATAACGTTTGCAGCGTACGTTATGCAAACCTAAACAAACGTTGTGGTAACGTTTTTTGAACGTAAATTTTTAGCAGGGTTGGACGTTTAAAAGCTATCAATATAACGTTTGCGGCGAACGTTAGATCAACGTTCGTTGTTTGTTGTTTGAACGTTCACAGCAAACGTTCAAGAACTATAAATCGGAGTTCACAAAAGTTGGTTCAAAGAACGTTTGGAGCGTACCTTATTCAAACCAAACGAACGTTATGGTAACGTTCTTAGAACGCTAATTGTTAGTTGGGTAAAGACAACTCATAACCATCAGTTTAAATCCGGCTACACTGGAAAATCCAACAGATCATACGATTTTAATTCAATTTCTAACATTTTTACCATCCATGATAGTTGTGCCAGGGTCAGACCGTTATTTAAATTTTTGTGTCGTTATTTATTACTGCTGATTTTGTTGAATATGTTGCTGGATATGATAGAGATCACTTCTCGCTAATTTCATATTAATCCATTTCCCATGAAATGACCGCTTGACAGTGCTTAACCATGGAGGAAAACACTTTTCCGGTGGGTGTAAAAAAGTTTTCATAAGAGGTGCAAAATGTTGATGTGCCGGTTTTCCTAAATATCTTGGCGTATGTGGACGTATTGAAAAAAGCTCTCCGAGAGAGTGGTCTGGAGAGTTTTAATGTAGGTTCAAAAAACCTTTTGATTGCTTAAGGAGACCAAAAAAAGGGTGGAAGAAGCTCTCTGAGGGGTAGTGAAGGATGTGCTCAAAATACTAACTTACATCTTTTTAAATTGAGTTTATAAATATATTTAAATGTATTTTAAAGTTTTTATTTATAATATTTTTGTTAATAAAAGGGTATTATGTGTTCGTATTATGGATTAGACATCATAGGCTTACTCAAGCAAGTATTATGTTATTACAGTTTTAATAATATGATTTTTGTCAAAACAATCCAAGATATTAGCTAGTGTAGAACATTGCTTAAAAGATCTTCACAATAAGTTTAAACAATGTTAAGCAATTAATTATTTAGGTAAAATAAACATAGAGTATGAGTACTTTCGTGTAAAAAAGTTGTTATTGGTTGAACAATAAATAATGAATAATCAAACAATTAAAGGTTTCAAAATATTTCTATTTCAGTCCAAAAGTCTTCAATTTGGTATATTGTTAAGATTATTAATTTTTAACACTTTTTTATATTGAAGGTGCTCTTTGACGGTTTTTATATACTAAGTAGTTAACAAGTATTTTTTATTTATCAAAAATTTATATCATTTCATTAATTGAAATTTTTTATAAGTTTTAAATATGTTTTTTCAGTCTATTCAATTCATCTATCCAATGTTTTCATTTAGCCGTCATTCTTATAAAAACTTTAAAGAAACTCGGCTCAAGAAAAGGACAAGAGCAAAAAAAAAAAAAAAAAGAAGACTGCTGTCTACGTCAAAGGTTTTTAATCAAAAGATTCTATCTGTTTTAAAAGATCTTCTCTACAATAAACATTTGTATTTTTATTTATAGTGTAGTTGTTTTTTTTTTGCTTTTTAAATATAAAAATTACAGTTAAAGTGTTTTTACAAAAATCTTTCTAGTACTTTAGCAGTGATATCTTTTATTTCAAATTATTAAATAAAAGAGTTTAGTTAAAGAACCATCAGGTTACTGATTGAAAGACTGAGTAAACGATGAATGAGTTGTTTCGTTCAATTAAAGCTATGTTTTAAAGTTGGTTGTTGTTGCCTCAAGAAGCTGCTCTTTATTTTAAAATTCTTTAAACTTTAACTAAAGTGTGTTTAAGAATCTTTATATCTGCTTTTACGTTTTTAATTTGTAAAGTCTAAAAAGGTTCCTAATAGTTTATTTTATTATTGTGCATATAAATTTAAATTTGCGGTAAAGTTATATTAAGCTTGACAAAAAAACTTGCGTACAGTAAAACAGAACCTGTATAAATTTCAGCTAAGATCAAGAGTACTATTAATTTATTTTATACCTGCCAATGTTTACCAGTTATGAATGTATGTATCATTTTTTATTTATTTATAATAATATAAATTTTTTTATTGAATAATGTTTGGTTAAAGATTTTATATTGTAACTTTTAAATGAAGTACAGTGCAAATCAATTCTGGAATGTTATCTAATGTTTGATTTTATCAACCATAAATAACTTAAATAGTGTATGGAACATGAATGTATGACAACTATTGTAATAATGATTGTTGATGAGTAATGTTGATTAACAGTAGAAAAATTGGCATATTAAAACAAGTTTGTGCTGAAACTCTAAAGCAAATGAGATGATATCTAATAAAATTCAACTTCAAAGTTTAAAAACTATTTTTCTACTTTATATGTTTTTTTATAAGCTAATATTACTTTTTTACATGTTTTTCAAAGCTTTAAAACTATTTATATTTTCTTTATATGTTAGCAGTTTTAATTTTAAATAGTAGTAAAAAAAAGGTTTCGTAGGTTTACATTAAAAGGAATCAGTATGCTAGGTAGCCTTTTCTAAGGTAAATTAAACCGTCATAACAAGGATTTTGTTTATTTGGAATGTGGGTTTCATTTAAAAATATAATATGTTTGATATCACAATAAATTATAAATAACGATCTAGCGTTTTAGTTACAAAAAACAAATGCTTTTACGTATGTGTGTCTATTTGACTTTACTTTTGCATTTTTTTAAAAAGTATTTCGACAGTTTTTTAATGCAAGCTTTGTTTTTGTTGTTTTTAAAATTAGATACTAAGTTTAAAGTTATTTCTATTTTCTTTACAGTTTGTTTAATGTAGACACTATTATGTTGGGTAGTTACTCACTAACAACTTGCCATGAGACATAAGCCCTTCAAAAAAAGTGCTCAAAGACTGAAAAGTTTAGTTTACTATATTTATTCTAGTATCTTATAACTAGTTAATTTTTATATTACAGTTAATATATCAAAATCTGCTTTAGGGCTACGTTAGGAGTCTGCAGACCTCTACGTGTAACTATTTTTGTTTAACGTTTTAATTGGTTTCTCTACGGTGTCTCTAATTAGTTTCGTTTAACGTTTCAACTGGTTTCTCTACGGTGTCTCTAATTGGTTTTGTTTAACGTTTAATTGGTTTCTCTAAAGTGTTTAGTATCTGAATGAAATTTGAAGTGAAGATAAACTTGACTTGAAACTAACCCGGTGAAAAGTTTGAAGTTTTATTCTTATATTAAAAAGATATTAAATTTATCAAGATTGTACATTTTGTTTAAGATAATAGTTTTATTATGATTGTAATCTGTAAACTGTGCTTGTAAATATTAATCTTAAAATGATTTTTATAATAATTTTAGATTATTCTTTTTATTTTTATTTGTTAATCCAGTTTAAAGTTATAATGCCAATGCAAAGAAAAGTCACTGACTTATCATTAGTATTTCTTTACTAGTAATATTATTTAATAAATTCGACGAGGTATCAATACCCTCTCTGCACTGTTTTGGATGAGATCAGGTAACAAAAATATTTACACTTTCGTCAAAGATAAGTTTCTATAAATAAAGAAAAGTATAAAAACAATAATATTAGATTTATGCCTCGAATTAAGAGCGCAAATTACAGCAGTTCCTATATCGGAACGCTGCCACTCCAATGGGCCGATGTTAGAAATTTAGCATTTCGACGCCATAGGTCCACTGTCAAACCGCCTTCAGCTAGCCGCCAACTGAGCAATATAAATACGATGTGTGCAGGGCCGACGTTGGTACGGCAAGTTTGCTAAGGGCGGTCCGTTAACGCTATTAGTTAACGTTTAGTTAATTTAAGTAACTGAAAAATTAAAATATTTATTTTTAATTTATTAAGTTATGTTTCCTTATTCTGTAGTGTTTTGAACTTTTTCACTATATATGCATTTTTATCATAATATATTAATTTGTATATCATTTATTATAATAAATGAGGATTTAATTAAAAAAAAAAAAGTTTTTATTGTATACTAAAAACTTTCGTAGTGAAACTAAGGAAACTCTCAAAAAAAAAAAGGTATTTGTAAAAAAAATATGTTTTCCAAAAATGACCGAAACTTTAATGTTTTTTTATTGATAGTTAGACTTAAGGACGTATTTGTTGTGTGAAATTATTTCCGAATTATCACGGCAGCCAGCTTTAACAAATTTTTATATTTTATTTATAAAATATTGTTAGTTGAAAAAGACTTGAAAATCAAAAATAAAAAGCGTTTTCATACGTCTCAAATGACTACTTATATTAAAAGCAGAATACTAATGTGTCATCTTTATTCTTTTTATCAAAATATAGGTACTTTCTATAGATTATATACTTTACTACTTAGTTAAAAATCAACTTTTAGACAAAATAATATAATTTATATAAGGGATTTACAAAGTAATAAAAACAATTTTGCACTCAACCAAAATATATATTTATTTTTTTCAGAACTTCAGAATTTGCAAAATTTGCAGCAGTTTAAAGTTTGCAATTTCAGAAACATTAAATGTTAGGAATTTAAATAAAGATATACATTTTTTTCTCGTGCGTACACAAGATAATGAAGAACTTAGCCTTAATAAAAAAGAACTAAATTTGAATCAGTGGATAAGGTTCCTGATGAATTGTGACTAGTGGAATGACAAAAATTTAGCTATAGTAATTTTTTTTTTTGAAACATAATGCTTTCTTCGAAAATTTGGAATTAAGCTGTTGTTGATAAAATCTACCTATTTTAAAAATGCGCACATTTAAAAAAGATGACCATTATACTAAAACATTAATGAGAAATAAAAAAAAAAAATATTAAAAAGCAGCAAAAATTTGATTAAAATTTTTACCCATCCATTGATGAGTTTGAAGTATTAAAATTTGATCATAAGTTTCTTCAAACTTCAAACATAGAGAGAAGTTTAAATTTTTCAATATACTTTTTTCAAACTCGCTGCTTGGAACTGCCAACCATTTTTCATAAGTTTTGTGATACATCAAGTAGGTTTTTTGATTTCGATGTATAACATATAAATCTCTTGTTAATAAATGATGACCAAGAACAGAGCCCACGCGAATATCTAGTTCTATAACATATATTTTGTTAAAAATAAACCTACATTACAAAACAACAGCACAAAAAGTATATTTTTTAAGAAAACAGTATTTTTCTGTTTTAAAAAAAAAAAAAAAGAAAAAAGAATCGAAGTTTTTTTCATATAATCAAAAAGCATTTACTTGACCATTCCTCGCCATAGTTATTTGAAACATAACATGCCGTCTTATCGCTTAAACAATAGTTTTGATACCATAAATTCATAGCAAGGTTTATTTAAAGTTAAAAAAAAGGGATTAAATAAAAATCTTTGCAAAACAACTTTTTTTAAATTTCTTTTTATGTGTAAAATATAGAAAACTTTATTTTAACGTAAACAATAAAATTATTACATTGTTACATATAAATTCATACAAGCATATATCCAAGATTCTTCTTGATTCCAACAAATACCTCGGCCATAGCTTTCTAAAAATAAAACAAAATTTTTTATTTTTCTGCAAAAATTTAACAAAAAAAAACATTTTTTTTCTGGTGCAGGAATTAATTTGGTTTATTTGGTTATCCATATTATATTTGGTTTGTTTGGTTATTCATATTAAGTTTTAAGATTATGTCAAAATTTTGAGAATAACACTGTCAAAACTTTTGTCGCTTTGGCTTAAAAAATAATAATTATAAATTAAATATAGTTTATTTATATTATGTAAGATTTATTTTGTTATAAAATTCATATTAAATTTGCTTCAATTGGATGAATTTGATATTTTTTTACATTATAAAAATCTTTAAGATTATCTATATAACAATATGTCAAGGTTACTATTTAAAATTCTTTTTTAGCAAACAAACCTCTTAAAGTAGTAAAAAAAGGCACATGGATCATAAATTGAAAATGAATTATACATATGTTGAGTAAACAAGTTCCTATATTTAATGCAACATACAAAAATTTGTTGCTTTATCCTTGTATTTGTTTTACAAAAAATATAGTTAAAAAAATCTTGTAGAATTTGCATTAGAAAAGCATAGTTACAAGTTTTATATTTTAAATAAATAATAAATACTCAATTTATATTATTGTGATACAGCATAAAAGATATAAGCTACTTCCTTCGTAATACTTCATAACGTAATATATATGCTTATGTTACAGCCTACTTCCTTTGCAATACTTAATAGCGTTTTTATATTTCAAACAATGACATTAAATATCTTGATTATTTTAGTTTTCTTTGAATGTATTGAGTACTGGAAACTAAAGAAAATTTTTAATTGTAACTTACAATTTATTTCGCACCTAAATACAATACTGTTATAGAAATGAAACAGACCCAGTGTTATTTTTGTGGGCTATATGTTTAGACTCTTTCACGTCTTTAATTAAATTAATGGTTTCCATAAAGCCTAAAATTTGACGGCTGTTATTTACTAATATTTACAATGCTGGTATTTACATAACAATATTGTTTTGAAAAAGGAATAATGAAATAGCAAAAATGCTTAGTTGGTTTAATATTATTAATCTTCACCAGAATTTTTAAAAACCTAATTTTTCAATGTTTTCTTTTCAACAAATATCAAATTTTTTCTTAACAAGTTTTTAATAAAAGTTAATACCTAGAAAGTTATCTTTTATTAATTTGATAATATCATATCTTTGATACCTTTAGAATAAAAACTCTAGTTGGAAATATAATATTGAGTCTTGCACTATAAAGTTGCGGAATATAAAAAATGTTATGTACAAACTAAAAGTTCATTGAAGTCTTAAATTATTTGCATATTTTTTCTATCTATTTTAGTTTAAATTCTGCAAAGTTGATCAAACTTAATCAAATAAAAAAAGCTTGTAATAAAAAAGAAATGGAACAAGCACAATATAACAATTAAATTTAAAATAGAATTAAAGCAATTATCTATAATGAAAAACAGTTGCTGCCTAGTTGATTTTGACCTCTTCATCAAATAGAAAATAAAGTAATCTTAATACATTAATTGATCAGAGTAATCACTTATTAGCAAATTTCTTCATAAAAATACGCTTATTTAATCTGGCACAAACGCCTTTTTTTGTAAAAATATTTAAATTGCAGTATTTAACACTAAACAAACAAACTACGTCTTTAAACGATTATAGAAAATTTTTTGTTACTACTGTGTAGCATCTTCATAAACAGTTTTTTTACTTTGTTTAAATGAAACACTACACAAACAAACTTCTTATTTAAACTATATTCTTATTTTAAAAGATTTTTTATTGGTAAAGTAAATAAAATAGGCGACCGGATTTGTTATTTGATCGGGGCCAGGGCCTGGTTAGATAAATTAGAGGCAGGGTTGCGGGGCCGGGGCCAGGTTTGCGACCAGGGCTGCATAAACATTTTTACACCCTTAAGTGCATTTTTTGAATTCAAAACTTATGTTATATTATATATATACATATATATATATATGCATATATAAACATCATTATGATCAACAAAATCATCATAATCATCATCATCGTCATCATCATCATCATCATCATCATCATCATCATCATCATCATCGTCAACATCATCATCGTCATCATCATCGTCATCATCAAATTTAAATTTCTACTTTTTTGCTGTTTCTCTAATATAAACAATCTAGAACATTATATTTTCTTTGCTAAATCTCATTCCTACAACATCTAAGGCACTCTTTTCAAGTTTTCTTATTCCTTCTGCTACCATTTTTTCACGAAGGTGCTACCTCTCTACGCACTGAAACCTAAATCCCTTTTATATTTTCTAAAAAATATTGTTCGATGTAAGATTTTTTTTCCTATCTGTCTAAGATTATGCTCCTTTTCTTGTCTTGCAAAAGTCACACCGCATATCTTTCAGATCATCTTTTTTTTTGGTACTAAACCATATAAATACTAAAATTTATATGCCAGCATCTAAATAAATAGCAAACATATATATTTACATTCATAATATGTAAGCATAAATGGCATCTCATATGCTTTTATTCCTTCTAAAATAAAAGTTTGAAATCTTTTATTTCTTCTGTTCAATTTTAAGTCAGACATTATTTAACTTCACACTTTTCACTAACTTGAGCAGTTGCTTTATTGAACAGTTGTCTTTTTTTTTATCTTTTTTACAAGAACATCTGACTTAATAACAAATGTCTTTTCAGTATTCCAAGAAGTTAATTTAAAAAGCTTGTTCACAGTTTACTAAATCTTGTATCTTATCTCAGATTTTAGGATTTAGAGACTGTAGGTTAGTCTTTAAAAATGTCATTAACTAAATTTAGTGTAACATTAAATCTCTAATTCATGGTTCTGATCATTTCACTTTCCCTAGAATAAAGCAGAGTTTGCAAAGAAGTTTTACTCTATTTCGAATTTAGAATCTAATGGTCTTACACTTCTAGATACTTAAACAGATTAACACATTTTTAAACAAATCACTATGACTTCGAATGCTAATTCTTAACCAAGCTCTAAGATTTCCATCATAGTTATAACGAACTTTCCTCCAGATCTATCTTTGATTTTTGCTAAATTTTCAAAAAGTTATAATTAGTGGTTCTATTTTTTCAAAACTATAGAAAGCACTTTGAACTCTCCAACTATGCTACAATTAGTCTTAACTCTGTTATTAGTTACTTTATATAAAGGTTTTGAGAGTATTAAATTATTTCTTTTCTAACTGCAGTATTAAATTTATTTTTGAAGGCCTGCACTCTTCAAGTAACATTAGGAGTACAACAAGGTTTTATCTTTCCTCCTGTACTACTCACTTTGCATGAGGAGGAACACGAGTTCTTTCAATTTTCAACGAGCTGTTTATGTAGTAGTTATTTTTCTAAAACGTTTATATTTTTGTTTTATTTTTTTACGTTATGCTTTACATTTAGTTTTTATTTATTAGCTTTGTTGTTTGTACCCTAGCTATAATAAAATATATACTTTTTACTTTATTCTTTATATTTATAATTACTTTAGTTGCATCGGGTACAGCTATATCTACTACGATTACCTTTTATATTTTTAATAAAATTGAAAAGAAAAAAAAGCATACATTTCTAAAATAATAAGAACAACTATAATAAATGAATATAATATATATATATATATATATATATATATATATATATATATATATATATATATATATATATATATATATATATATATATATATATATATATATATATATATATATATATATATATATATATATATAACCTTTACTGAAATGAAAACCGATATTAAGCTTTCAAAAACATACTAACAATTTACTAGTATATCTAAATATACACTGAAAGTTTCAATATTTATCATTTATTAATAGTAACTGTTAAATATTGATATCTTCAGTTTAAATGCAGACACCTTGTCTATCTATATATTTTTTTACTCAATAATTTAACTGTTTTATTTCTTTATCTTACTAAGAAAAATTGTTTCAAATACGTTAATTTTTTCAAACTACGCGAGGCATAAAATACTTATTAAAAAAATAAACTTTTTTATTTATAAAATAATTTAACTTAAAAGTAAAACAAGCGTTAGTTTTATTAGAATTTTGTTGGACTTTTTGCGGTCGGGGGCTACTTTTATTTAGAGGCCTTTTTTTTCCACATCTTAAAAATGACTTAAAATAAGATCTTGTAAGGATAAGATCTTCCTGACAAATTTGGGGCCCCTAACATTGCGGAGGCCGAGGCTATAGCCCGCTCCAGCCGCAACCCTTCTTTATTTAGCACTAAAAATAAGACACGATTACATAAATAAAATTTATATTATACTCTTTGATAAATAAATGAACATTTGTTTTCTTACGAAGCAATCGCAAGATGTTACTTTATATAAAAATATATCGCTTAATTACAGATCCTGTCGAGTAACTCTTAATTGTCAAAAATAATATTGAAGCTGCTTGAATTGGTTACATCAATTCCAATAATGTGTAGGGCATTTTTATAAAAACGTTGGATCTCTCTTTTTGCAGCAGCACTGCATGAAGTAAGAATAAGAGCACTATATATCAAGTGGTTAATAGCGTATGATCGGTAGACCTGTAAAAGGTTTGACTGAGTGTGTCTAAGTTGTTTAAGACGTTTGAGTAGTAATGGAACTAATTTTATATTGTTGTAAACTTTATTCCACTGTTCATCCCAACCAATATTCTCATTGAGCCTTTTTCCAAGGTGTTTGTGGGTGCTGACTATTTCAAGTTCAGTATTATTAGGTACAGGGGATGGTAATGCTTGAATTTCGGAGCACCTAGGAATAATTGTTATAATTTTACATTTAGCGCTATTAAGTTTTATTCCGTTTATAGTAGACCAAAGAGCGTCGCCATCAACAATATACTGAGGTAGGTTTGGAGGAATTTTATCATTAGTTATATAAGTCAGTATGTCATCAGCATATTTTTCGAGGATGGTTTCAGGTGAAAGATTATAAGTAGAATGAAAAAGAT